TTACGTACGTCCTAATCGACAATCAGAGTTCGCTAACGAGCTATCGTATGTCAATCGTAAATTGCACGCACTCTACATGTAAGCATGTAAATACGCCGCTAGGGAGGAAGGGAGAAATTGAAGCCGATGTTACTTCGACGAGCGTAGTTTCCCGCGTAATGCCCGTGGCGAAATGCGCCTCGCGTCAATCACCGCGTTTACGTCGTCGCAAGCAGGCATGTAAGTCACACTCTGCTTGCACGCTGCTGTATCGGAAACTCAACTTATCGAGATATCGCCTCGGTTCCGACGACTTTTGATTAATACAATTTATACGCCGAAGAAAAAATCTACGAGATCAAGGGATGGAGGGATTTGTTTGTCTCTTACGCTAAGGACCGAAAGGGCCGAGTCGCACTACGACTATGATGCGAGATAAAACGGTCTGCCGTTTCGTGAGTTTTTTTACGCGCGAATTTTAGTCTCCCTTACTTTTAGTAAGGACGTACGTCTGAGTTCGCCGCAAGTTCGCCTAAGAAGGGTGCCTACTAAAGGAGTGAGTTAGTATCGGTTGTATCGTCCTCATCACACGCTCCAATTCAAAGCCAGCGTAATTCGTCACCGCGCTCGAAACAAGGTTATTCCCGTTGGCTGATAAGAAGCGCTTTATTATTGATCATCTGTTTCCTTTGTGTCTTCCGCGGAAAGGATCATGGCATATAGGGATTAAGGTCGGCGTACGATCGAATTCCACATGCAGGGTGCAACGTCGATCGGCGAGTGAAAACCCTCGTATTTGCATTTTTAAAGGAGTGAAATAGAGAAGCTTAGAGCGAAGAATACGAACCAGCGAATAGGGTGGAATAAAAGATTTATTAACACATTCCGTGCCGCACTGATTTTACGTGACTTTCCATTCACGTTGATCATTATACATGTTCATTGAAGAATGTTGTATTATAATCAAAAGTAATCAAGAAGGAAAGATGTAAATGTATAAAATACGTTGTAAAATCAACCGTCATGAGTAAGGAACTATTTCAATTGCCGTGAACGATTGAAAAGTTCAGCGTAAGTCGCCGGTCACGCGGCACAAATCGTGTTAAAGATACTTTTGCAGTCGTAATACGCAAAGGATACGGATCCAGAGCAATACAATATCTCAAACGTCACAAACATGTTTGCGACATAAATATTCGAATTCTCAAAATATAGGAAATTGTATCCCGGATTTTATATTGCAACGAATCGTTCGGAGTATTCTGTATTTAGAACCGCATTTTCAATAGCTCCTCGCGCGGGAGACACACTTTCATATTTTGACTAGTCGTGGCAACATCTGCGATAAATATTTTTTCAAGAGTTTTACTCTTCTTTTTTTTTTTTTTTAACGAAAAATGTGCCATCGAAAAGTAAAAAGGAAAAATAACACACGTCAAACGGCATAGCGCGGTGCACGGCGAGTGCCCGCCGATGTGAAATCTTGCTGCGTTTCACGGTACAATTGATAAGAATAATTACAGTTACGATTACGAGCTAAAAATGTCCCACTGTGGAAGTAAAACTGGCCTCCGCGGCTGGTTATCTACGAAGAACGACGGGAAAGCGACGTACAGACGCGCTTAATGATACCGAGTCATCGATCGCCACTCGAATTCGCCTCGTCGTTCGCGAGTGACGGGCACGGCCGCCGATAGAAAGCGAATATAAGCGTGCCATCGATTCCTTTCGTACCGCGACGGTTCCTCGAAGAGGACCCAAGCGCGATACTACGAGCAGCAGTATATTACGCTATTATGAACTGTACGCGAGTCACGCGAGATAACTCCGTATTAAATTATTAATCTGTTTAAGCCCGCCACCTTGGTAATATTACCGTGGCCGTTAAATTGTCGGGAAGACGGCGACAGCACCGAACTGTAAAATTCACGATCCTTTTAGCAGGAAAATAATTCTTGTCGTTCTTTCTTTTTTTTTAAACCTTTGTCGTGGTATTTTAAAACCTCTCTCATCATCCGCTTCATGATATTACCGTTGCACTGCAAACATTTCTGCGTTTATCTGTTTATATACTTTTTGTAAATGGTAATTAATGGAAGACATAGCTGTGAAAATCGGTCAAACCTTCAAGATTGAAAAAGACGGATGACGTTTCTCGGGAGTGTGTGTTCGTTAACCGCGCACGACATGCACTGTTACCAACTTTATTTTCTCCACTTTAAAGAATAGTTGGACTGCGGGCTGCCTCCGATCGTTTTAATCCCTTGTCAATACGCGTCGAAAGAGACGCGCGTTCAGTTCACAATGACGTCGCAGTTATTACGTGCGCGGGAATAGCCACGAGCAAGAAAGTTCCCGCGAATTTCGCACGTCAAAAGTTACAAACGATCGTCTGCCAGTCAGTGATAGGACAAAGACGATCGACAAATTGGCCCCGAATTCCCCGGTGTCGCTGCGACGGCAACGTGAACAACGAATTTCTCTTCGGCCATCGATCGAACCGCGACCGACTTCTCTATAATCGTTCGGTTATAGTCGAATAGGATCATCTCGCGAAAGTTGCTTTTGCAAGTGCCGTACTTCAAATATACAGGAAACGTTTAAATTTCACATTACATGCACAACAACAGCGAACAATCATCGTGTTAAATTTTTATCTTATTTTATCATTCGCCGACTCGAAGCGATTTTACCGTTTACGCCTGTGTAAAAGACGGCATCGAAAAGAGTCCTTAATTCTTGCAACACCGTGTTTCGAATACATTAAACATTAAATCACAATACATGTAACTTGGCGCAATATTACCGTTTGCCGTTTTATTGAAAATACATTATTTTGGAAAAGTTTCTGTTTTCGGCACGCGATAGCTTCGCCACGGCGAAACTGGATAATGGAGCAAGAGTTTGGAACATCCGAATTTCTCGCAACTACTTGCCGCATTCCCCTAGTTTGCTCTCCCGCGAATAGGTATAATGACAGACAATGATAGTTCTTGGTTTGGCGAGGGTGATTCGGGCAGAATGCACTTTCGAACTCTGCATCTCTCTTACTGTAAAAGATCTTACTGCAAAAGATCGGAAGAAATATTCTTCACAGAAACCAACTTTTCCATTTAATGAAATCCAACTTTTTTTTTAAAGTTTCAACTCAGTTTTTCTGAATATCTTCAAATTTCAAGAGTTAATCTAAATAAAAATATCAGTGAATAAGTATCATTCGTAACTTCTCTCAATTTTGGCGATTGATTGTAAAAGAAGAGAAAATAAAGTCAATTCTTAAAATTGTCCATATATTTTAATTATTATAATTAGATAGCATTTAAACTACTTTTTTAAATATTAAACAAAAATCAGAACTTTCTTAATGTGCAAAATTAAAAGCTATCGGTACTGATTTGTTTTACAAAATTTATTTTCCCAGATGTTTGCAGTTATATATTAATTCATAATATATTTTTTTCTGATTTTTACGATACGTGTAATAATTTTCAGCTGTCGCAGTTACAGTTGCCGTGAAAGAAATGATACTATTATAGGTTTGAACAAGTATTTTGTCGAGAATAGTGCGACATAACAAAGTTAAATGTTTCAATAAAAAGGCGAAAGAACGTATTCTATATTATTGCATTTTATACTCGTGGCATAAAAAGGAAACTTCGCAGAAGTTCAATCCAATAAAAGTGCGAAAAAATGTACCACGTAACACATACACACGCGCGCAGAGATTCAATTATACTAGAAATCCATTGTTCAGCATTGCTTGCGTTAGCACAATTCAAGTTATACCTTGTAAAACAATCCAGATCGGAATTATATTTCTTATCCCCGCTCGATTTATCTTGCGATACATCTGCGACATTAAGTATGGCAATGATTCCTTTTATTATTATATACTGTGCTCTAAGAGAATATCTTCTAGGAGTTTATTATTATATGTCATATTCTAAGAATATCTTTTAGAAGTCATTTCTAGCATTTGCAAGCTTTGCGGCGTGTTTACGTGATTAACGCTCGCGTAAAAAACGCGTGAAAAGGAAACATAGGCGGAAAGTAAAAATAGGATCGGATTTAGCATAATGTGTTGTAAATGGAATGGCTAAACACGCATACGGATGTATATGTGCGGAGCGCACAACCGCGGGATTGTAAAATGGGGTGGAATAAATCATGCAGTTGCGAGAATTTCAGTGCGCTCATATAGCAATGGATTGCGCGATGCATGCAGCTCGGTGAGTAGGCGTACCTTAGCGTATCACCGTGTAATTTAGCTAATTGAAGTGGGCAATGATGGCGAGTACGACGTCAGAGGATCTTTTTTTTCTGCGCGGAATGCGAGAAACATCAATAATTGTATTATTTTACAGGGTGTCTTATGTATCGCGCATATATCACATACATATTTATCTTATTATCGTAGATGAAAGTCAAATAAACCGAAAAAAAATAACGATTTGCTTTAATTACACTAGTCTTTAATTATCTAAATTTCAATTTGCGTTTTGTCGTTAATTAAAGGCAAGGCACACTCAATGCACAATTAAAACATATTGCGCGTAGTATGAATTTTAAATGTAACAAAAACGTCAAGACCTACAAATAACTACAAACTCACCGAAATCTCTACATTTATATAAAAAAAAAAAAAAATGCGCGATCTTGAATGCACTCTGTATAACGTGTTCAGTGGTCCGAAGTTCAACATCGTTCGCGCAAACTGTCACTCGCATACGCGCTAATGGAACTCGTACTCTTATACGGTGGTCTTCCGCCGGAAAATTCCCTATTTTCGAACTCGTTCACGAATTCAATGCTAGTCAGTCTCTTCCGGCGCTAATCGTTTCGCGCTGTGAATTTCGACGTCGGCCGGCCGACATCGAGCTCGTTAAGAAATTAATTGCTTGTCGCACGGGACGATCATTTGCAATGGCGATTCGATTCGTCTGTTAGCGTCATCATTGTGCTTTTGCTTTCCGCCGCTGATATCAGGATCCTCTAATTCAGGAATAGCAGGTGAATCGCGGTGATTGGATGACCTACTTATCCTTCACGACTCCATGAATCTTACGATTTGTATTTGTATCATTTAACTTTCCGACACAGTTGTACAGTTGTGCAGTGCATCTTGCAACTCATTGTATTTTTACTGCAATTCACTGAGAAATAAACAATTAAAATCTTCCAGTTTTTATGGAAGGGCACAACATTTTTATCGCATCGAATGAACACATTCATGTGGAGTTATTTGTTACAAAATGAAAATATTTTTATTCGATATTAACACTCGTTTGCGTTTGCACGCGTACTTTGTACGCGTACGTGACTCTGTCGGAAGGCTAAAGGATTTTCAGTTATATGACGCGTAATTCAGCGGTTTATGTTATTCATTACGTTTAATCTCATCCCTCGGATCACTGTAATATGGATTTATGGTGACCTCTTTATTAGAAACAAATCTTTCCGGATCTGGTTTGAACTCACGTCTGTTCTATCTTGCACGTGCTAATTCCTTTGACCTAAATAGAGCAATCAGAGATGTGTTCAATTTCCCTTTAATGGCTTACCGGTCATTAACCGATGAAGAAAAATTGAAGAACTTGCTTCAGCTGATTAGACTAAACGAAATTATTTACAATAAATGCGAAGTAGGATTATAGCAAAATAAATGATTTATTTTAGATAGACTAAAAAAAAGGGTTTAAAATATCTATTAAAGTTATATTTTTAACAAATTCGAATAGATTGAAAATTTCGATATGTTACCGCGATTTTATTAACTGTACTGCGCTTTGATGTAGTGGTTCTCAAAGGTCATGCCACGAAACTTTAAATTTTTCAATGTGTGGGAAAGAAAACTTATGATATTCTGTATAGAAAAGGACAAATTGGCAGAAATATGAAATACCATATTTTTTACTTTTAAAATATTATATAATCCACTTTAGCTAAAATTAAACGTCTTTAGATAAAGAATTTTATTCTATACTTTAATAGCAAATTGTATAGATTATTGCATATACAATCTAAGATATCTATTTTTTTTTTAATAATAAAAACCACAGCTCAAGTTTCAAATTTCCATTTCGATCTTTCATCTCTACTTTCTTCCCTATTTTTGCTTAATATATAGATTTTATTATTTATTACATTCAGAATATGTAATGTCTCGTATTAATTCGCGAAGTGAAGCGTTGAATGTGCCGTAATATTCTCACACAAGAAATAACACTATATTATGAATAAAAAAATTTGAGAACCACTGTTTCAGTAGCTATTAGAGGAACCGCAATGGATGGCCATCTCTCTGCCTGTATTGCTATCTATTCCCAAATTTGCCTATATGGGATTTCAGCCGAAATTGCTAAGCGTGAAAGGGTCAACAAGCTACCGGCTCGTTGGCATAGCTGCAAATCGTCGATCCCCTGCTTTGCTTTGACCCAAACTTCGATCTCGTATAAAAGTGAAATGCAAAAAATTGGTGTAAATTTAATCGCGCGCGCGCGCATTTTGTTACCATGCAAACTGCAAAGCGATATCATATTCCTGACGCTACCCTGCGAATATTCACTTTCGGAGCGAATTCTCTTTTTGCACGACGCTGCTTTTTCGCCGCTCGCACTTATGCTGCGGGAATGTAAACTATGATCGATTGTGGCGTCCTTTGGCGCGGACGTGATAAGGATCGATGCGATTCCCTTCACGTAATGGCCTCGGTTACGCGCGATAACGAGCTCGGCCGAGTAGTAATCTACGCTGATTGCTGCTTTCGGTGTCGCCTTTCGCGTTACTTTATGGGCATTTTATTTTACGATCTATTCGCGCGCGAAAACGTACTCGATCCTCGCGATAACGACGCTTACGCTTCTCTCGCGGGATACGCGCTCGAACAATCTCCCCGTGGCCTATATTTACGGTAATCACAGAGATTGTACACTTACCGGACCTCTTCGGGATTAAGGGCGCCTCTTATTACTCACGCCCGGAATTTATAAGAGCTATGAAAAGTCCAACAATCCATGCCTTTAAAAAAATTTGATTAAATCGTAAATGTGAGAGAAACGCTAGTCTGCTGGTTTCAGCATTATTAATTGCGACGGGGAAACCTAGGATACAATGTAGAAAAGAGAGCATCTCCGATCAGGGGGGGGTTCACTGTTAAAACTTTCAAAGTCGCGTGAGCGAAATAAAAAGTGAACTTTCGCTGACTTGGCGTGTTTCGATAATCAGACTCAGCGTGCTTCGTCAGAAGCAGCGAAAGATTGCCCCCCATCCGTAAAAGGGCTTGACAGCATACGACGTCGAGAAACGCGGCCGGAAAGGTCGCTACTTCATTACAAAAGCGGTACGCACGTGCCTTCTCTTCTCCCACGAAGGGTATCGAGCGGTCGATACTTGTCCTCTTCTTCGACGAGAGTCACCTCGTTGACCCCCGAAGCTCGAAGACTATTCCGAAGCGTAGAACGTTTCAATGGAAGTCTGCCGCAAGCTCGTTCGTTTCAGATTATTCCGGATCGAGATGATCGATATATCGATCCCACGGATTTTACAGCACGTGCAGATTCTCGCAGCTCTTCGACTTGCTGTCGCGCGCCCAGACCTTGTCAAGCAGATTGCGCACCTTGAGGCTGGTGCTGGTCCGACTGCCGCGGTACTTTTTAGGCGAGTTGTTCTCCGAGCACGAGCCCAACGGCGACTTGCTGCGATTTTTCCGCGATCTTTTCCGGAACATCTCTCTGGTCCTCTCGGGATTCTCCAGTTTCAAGCGAATCTGCGTGAGCAAACCGACCAGCAGCTCGTCGACGTTGTGATTGATCCCGACCGATGTTTCGATGAACTTGCAGTCGTAAGACGTCGCCATGGATTTGCCCTCTGTAACGGCGGAATCGATAAAAACTCGATGGCACCGCACGCCCCCGAAAATCTTACTACGCGCGTCATTTGGACAATGCGATAAAATATGAGTATGACAACAAGATAAATGATTCGTCTCGACTGGCCGAAATAGACGAAACTCGGTATCAGGCCATTTATCTTTGTCTGGTTTATTTGAACTTTAACTTATAGAAGGGTCCAAGCTTATCGTTTATTCTTGTAATTTTCGGGTTATATACAAATAAATGATGGAACTAAAATGCTAATGGTAAATAACGGTTGGTTTAGGCCACTCTGTACATACCAAAATTTCTTGGCAAATCCGGTTAAAATATTTACGGAGACTAGGCTTGGGGATCTTTATTCAACACTTACAGGTGGGAGGATAAAACGCGATGATTTCATTGAAATTATTCGTTGTTCATATCGAAACGATTGCTAAAGAGACAGATGCTAACTCTAAACTGCCTCGCAGACATAAATTGGGCGTATAGATTGCGATACATAACGATGTAGAAAATACAGTGTTGAAAAAGAAACATAATTGAGCGGGAGATGCTATTAATCTGGTCACGTTTAACAATACGGAAACAGCGTATTCTATGCACCGACGCGTCCGCTAGGCGATTAAATAGCTTTTCCTCGCCTCGCTGCCCTCGGAGAATTTGCATGGAGGCGAATCGAGGTGCTGCGTCAGTATGCATTTACATGCGTTGCGTTATCTATGATCGCTCTATATCAGCGTTTCGTGCCATCTCAATGATAGATAGACGCCTCGTTCCTCAAACACGAATACGAATTTCCATTCTCGCGTGTTGCCTCGCAAGGCGTTCGATTGGGCAACGTCGCGGGGAAATCGCTGACTGTCGGGAGGGCAGACGAAGGAAAAAAAAAAACGAAATGTCATTACCTTCGGTCGACACCAGTCGGCTGCGTACGAGATCGACTTTGTTTCCCACGAGGATGACTGCCCTCGCAGATACGTGATCGCTCCGCCATAAGGATTGGAGAACCTCCTCGGCGACGCGCACTGATGTCCGATCGGTCGTGGAATAAACGACGCAGTACGCGTGCGGTTCATAGGTCGCGATGCAATTTTCCGGCTGCAAGCATTAATCATGACGGGAACACATTAATTACTGATGATCACGGTCGAGCCTAGCAGTCTCTGTTTCCAATTTATGAAGCTTATATTAATTAGTCGTTACATATGAAACGGCCATTCCGCATCGACAATCTTCGAATAATTTCCGGCGAAATTAATTACACTTAATTGAAATCATATTTCAGTCATGTTATGCGTATGTATGGGCTGTTTCTCTTAATGAGAAAGTAGTAGTTTTATAATTGTATTTCCATGTGAAAAGTCCTCGAAATATTTCATCGCGTTATTCTTAAAATAGTTGGCAACGTGACGTAAGAAATGCGGCTATTGTATTGCATAAAACAGTCTGTTTCTCGGTATTTAAACACGCAACGCAATTTTCGGGCTGCATTAATCATGACAGACACATTAACACTAGTAATCATAATGGAGACTAGCAATCTCTGTTTTCAATTTATGCAGGCTATTACGTATTTGCTCGTTATGCGGAAAATGATAGTTTCATGTCGACAAACAGGCAATAATTTCCAGAGAGAAATTGTGATCTAATTAATATTTGTCATTATATAATAATTAAATTATATTCTTTTAAATGGAAAGAATAGTCTATAATTTTTGGTTGCAAAGTTTTCGAAATTTTATTATCACTTTAGTCTGAAAATTTGCGCATAAGAAGTACGATTACGTAGAATACGTATTGCGTAGAAAATTTATTTCTTCGAAATGTCAAGCATATCCTATTAATCCTCTTTCATACTACGAGCTCAAGAAGACTACATCCATTGTATTTTACGCTAATCCTTCCGTTCTACAAACAACCAAAGAAATGTGTTTTTTTTTCTTATTTCTTTTTAATCTGACGAAGATAAAGTTTTTTTTGGCTAGATGCATTATAAAAGCGACGTGTCTTTTATGAAAAGATTTTAAAAGAAAACTTCTATATACAGTAAGATATACATTATAAAAGTAAATTTAAAAGTTCACTCTCTGTTGTGTGCTGTTTAAATATAATTTGAACAAAAAAAATATTTATAGATCTTCATTATAACAAGATTATATTTATAGCAAGAAAATGAAATAAAAATCAAATGATATTAAGAAGTTAAAATAAAGTCTGCCTCATATTATAATTTTAATTAAATGTCTCGGAACATTTTTCACTCTCTGTCTCGGTATTTCTTTGTGTCGAATGAGTCGAAAAAAAAAACAATGTTGTAAAAGAGGAAAATGTTCCATTTTTTGTGGATTACATAAATTCACGTGAGGTGATATATGCGATTCCAGTTGAATTCGCTAAACCGAAAAAAATTAAAGGGAAAGAATCGAAAAGGGGAGTTCGTTATCCATTACGTGGGTACTTAGCAACTTGACACCTGGGAGATAGATTGGGTTTTTCGCAATCAATACGTAAATGACGTTAAAGCGCCCTTCGGTCGCTGCATTTTTTATTAACTGCGTGCCCTTTCCGAAAACATTATTTTCCACACTTTTCAGTTTTTTAAAATTAATACAATTACTGTCTCTTAATTGGCATCCTGCGTGCGAATATCTAGTTTAAAATCAAGATTATCCGAGAGCGTACTTATTCACGCGTGAATCATATTCTTTTAATTAAACTGGAAATTTGATAAAATACCGTTGCGGTGCTGTTTGCAATGAACAAAACCGAAAAATTTTTAAAGCACCATTTATTCCTACACTTTACTTTTTTTTTCAAGGTGTAATCGAATTTCACTGGTTATTATTATTCACTCGAGCGACAAGCGAATTTCTGGAACGTATAATTGCAGTCACAGCGTTATTGTGACACCCACTCAGAATGCTAGGCAATAAATAGAAATCCCCCGGCAATATTTTTCACCGTATTCCATAATTGGTGCTCATAACGAAGTGCAGTTGAAATCTAGTTTAGAAACGTAAGAGAGGTCAGCTTAAAATCATTGTAAATTATATCTCTGTGAGATTTTACGGAAAGTCGACGCTAATATTTAGACTAACAATAAGTTAGAGCGACAATCCTAGCCGCTTAAACCTAGCTTAGTAATTTACTATATTCCAAGCATAAGTATGTATATATTTAACATAAATAGAGTATGTATATATTTAACATAAACAGAGACAGTAAACAGATATAACACTTATCCAAGCTCTTTCTCATATATAGAAAAAACGACATTCATTGAAATAAATATTTCTAATATTTAGAAGAATCTTAAATTATTTCAGACATATACATTGAATGCAAATATATAAATTCCACTGGTGTCCATTTTTTTTCAACAAAAATAGAAGTCCGGGTTATTCGCCTAAGGGGCTTAATCAGGAGTTGGCGCTAAACGACATCAGCGCAGCCAGCCGTTAAAGGTTAAGATCGCAACATGAGCGGGTTCTGCGATTTTTCGAACGATTATACGAAAGAATTACCTTGAACCGTATCAAAGGCGCGGCGCAGCTCGTGATATCGAATATATCTAGGGATCGACCGCTTAACGGTCGAACGCGCGGCATGGCTCGGTGCTCGTCAATGACTTGCGGCACGCCTGGTTGAACGAAAGCGGGAGAGAACGAAGAACGCTTCGTTACTCCCTCAGGTCCTTTTTCTTACTCCCAGTAAGCTCGCGCGGGAGCTTGCGATGTGCTCGTCACGCGATAACTCTTACTTGCTCGGTTGCACAGAGACCGCAAATCGGACTGTCGCGCTGCATTTGGATGCCAGACGGGTCCGCAGACCTGGATAACGTTGCCCTCAATAGGAGTTTTCGCACGACAACGTGTCGGTGGTGTAAAAAGTATTATCGGTCACGGCATTGGTTTGAGAGAATCATTGGAATTATTTTTCCAATCACTGTGCACACATATTTTAAAATATCACAATAGTTCTATATATTTTATAATTGTTCTAAGTCATTCAAATATATATCATGTCTGTCGGATTTTATTATACATTATTCTTACTCTCTCACAACTATTTTTACGTTTGACTTATTTTTTTTCGAAAAAAGAAAAAAAGATTAAAAGTAAATTAGTTTGTGCAACCTAAGTAAATTAATTAATTTAACCTTTTTCACGTCGTATGGATGCTTTTTTTTTTCTTTAAAGCACACAAAGGACAGTTTAATCTATTAATTAAATTTTTAAAATTGAAACTAAATATCTAAGGTTATATTAATAGTCTACGGAAAATCAATGGTTGCGCGTGTTTATCTCGTTTCTTTCGCATGTTCCTACGCATGCGATAAAAAATACAATTACTACAGTTTACCGTGGAATTACGCATGAAGGAAAGCACTACCCTCCAACAGTGCGCGTTAACGTATTTACGTCGATTAAACAAAATATGCAGAGGCGTCTGACTCTAAAACCACAACGTAGGATCAGGCGTTGCCCCATTTATGCTTAACTTTGTTGGTAAACTCCGCTAACGGAATCACGTAAATCCTAATTCTACATAAAATAAGTACATACTCTTTAAATTCCATTTCTCTTTTTCTTTCTCTTCTCGCTCCTCTGAATTTACACTTGATGTTTTTTTAATGCTTGATTGCATGCATAATTTTTTAATTTCTTTCCACCTCTCAGTTTGAGAAGTATTAATTCGTGTAGCGAGATAAGAGATCGTTGTACTTTTAGATATTCATATTTATACAAGATACTTTTTAATTATTACTGCTGCTGTTACTTACGAATTATTTAATCAATCTTAATAAAAATTTTGTTAAATATCCTTTTTGCAACTTTTTCATTTTTGACATTAATTATTATCTCTCATGTTATTGTTATAATATTTTGATAATTGAACTGCAACGTAAGATATTTTTAAACATAAAATTTTTAATTAATTGAATAACAAAATCCATACTATAAAAAATTCAAAACATAGTTAGAATATAGCTATAATATAACATACATAATATAATATTATTTCACAGTATTGTGAAAGCAACTGCTCGTTTTTAATAGTTAATATTGAATGTATGTTTAATATTATGAATAATGAATGCTTATTATAACCGTGAATGCGTAATAGCCGCAAACCGCTGATAAATTACAGTATATTTGTGATATTATTTCACCACGCGATATCACATCTATTTTTTTAGTAATCTATCTTCATAGCTATATTATTACAGCTTTATTTACACGACATATTTCACGGAATAACAATAGGCAGCTTCTATTTAGTTGAATAGGAATTACGTAGGTTATTCGAATCAAATCAACCCAACATAGAGTCGATATTTTCTTAAAACAAATTGCAGGCGATTGTTTCACTCACGATGTTCGAATTGTCAATATTAAATAATTATAATTACTAAAAATTAGTTGCAAAATTAATTATATCTTATCTATTTCACTCTTGTAGCTGTAAAACAGTCAAAATCTTTTTATTGCTTATCGTACAAGAAACGATCAATTGCTCGGCATTCTTGTTAAAATAAGAATGATCTTAAATTAATCGAAGGATGTATTGATGCGAAATAACTCGATTGATCTAAAAGACATCAGACATATCGTCGCAATGTAAACTCTTCAAAATTATATCGGTTTAACCGCGTAAAAACAATCCAAAAGCTCGCGTATGTTTTTAAAGGAATTTTTGAAACAGAAGATAAATAGAAGACAATTTATTTTTTTTTACCAAGAAAAACGTACATTTTTCCATCATTTTCTCCATAGCTTATTTAACCTATCTGTATTATAGAAATTGCAATCGTGATAAGCTTATCTGTGTAATAAATACACCTTGAGTTAATAGCCCGACCTAATACAATCCCGGGACTATCGACGGAAATCAGGATCGCGGCAATGTTGGAGCCTCGCTCGCGGCCTGTCGTGATTAGCGATCAGCCTTGACTTTCGGTAATACCAAGAATAACGGTGGCGCGCAGGGCGTACCTTGGGACGGCCTTCGCTCGCCGGAATTCCGTGGAATTCGCGAAATTCGGAGCTCGAGACCGCCATCGCGTCTGTGTCGAGCAATCGTTTTATCGTTTCCACGATATATACGTGAAATCGGTCGCGACCGCGAGTGTGCACGCGGACGCGTGCGTATCGGCGGCGCGCGCGGTCGACCGCGCAATATACAGCCGCGCTATACGCTGCGAACGACTGCGAACATACGTTTTAATTAAAGGGTAAATTCGATTGAAATTGTCTGGCGAAGCGTGACGGCGTGGTTCTACTCCCTCCCCCTCCCGCGAACACCCCCAACGTAGATTTCTCTATGTATGTACGTGTGTTTGTGCACATCGCGCTGCAGTTTCCCACATTTATCGTGCGCGGGAGCGTCGCCGCGCCAGCGCGTCAGCTCGCCCACCGTGGAAAATGGATTTTAATTTAATTCCCGCGGTACAAAAGCACACACACACACACACACATACACACCGCGTGCCCCTCCCGAGCTTGCCTTTCAGTCTGCCCGTCCCCCCGGGGTTAACTCGATTACGTAGCCCCCGTCGTCGTGAGAGCACTTCGCCCCGAAGGTTCAAGGCGCGTTCCGTCCGTTTGTTCGACGAAAACGAGAGGAGACCTGACTGGCCGGAGGAGATCGAGCTTGCGGCAAAAATGATTAGCTCGGGGGTGCGGTAAATTAGCGGCGTACTCTGCGCATCAGCGATCAATTGATTATGAAAATTGCGAGATCTGCTGCGAACATTGTCAGTCGTCTCGACGTTCTTATCATTTTCACCATTCTTTTCATGACTGTAAATGTATTTCATACTTCTATTTTCTCGTACATATAAGAAACTCCTTGAAACTTTTAATCGAGCAAAATTTTTCTACAGAAGTATCGTTGAGATAAATTTCAAGACACTATAATAATTTTAAGAGTACTTGATGATCTCTTGCAAATGTTGACAATATCAACACTCGCGTCCCAGTGACGCTATGATATGTGATAATTGTATACGTATTATGACATATTAAAACTGATGTTAACTTACCGTCATCTCGGCGCAGGAATGATCGATAAAAGTCAATTCCGATTCCTCGCCGGCCAACAGCACGCTGACAGTCTTCTCGCCGGACTCGTCGTCTATAATGAACGAAATTAGAGTCAGGCTTTTAAAAATATAGTAGTACATACGTGTGGACTTCGAAATAATACCATGAATAAGTAAAACATATACATTATATATTCAATTAATTAATAAGTAAAACCAAACGGTCGAACTGATTTTATTTAAGTAATGTACATTTAGGATCGGAAAAAGTAATTATTCATTAAAGTGCTCTTAATTTTCAGTTTATTCCGAACAAGGGATATGCAGATATTTGTTGAAAGTGCTAATTGGAGCGAACCCAAGTTTTCATCTTCGGAAGAAAGTTGATGATTCAAAAAAATCAAATAATTTCAAAACTTAGCCTTGCTCTATCAAAGAAAAATTTTAAATACTGCGGTTGAAAAAAGAGCAAATATTTATTTTACATTGCAAATTTTTTCTCATAGCTGCACACCTTTAAATAACCCGAAATTATCGGTTAAGTAATTAAATTTGACTCGGCTCGCGCACATATGCACTCGACATCCGGCACTCAAAAATATCGCACATCCCTGTTCCGGCACGTCCCGGACCATTGCAAATCGCATGCAAACGGGGTTTTTCCGCACCCGAACGGGCGCGGAAAACAATTGCATCACTCTGCAAAGGAGGGAGAGCCCTGCTCATGTTTTCGTTCCGGTTTGCTCTGGCTCGATCCGGCTGGCTTTTAGAATTCTTTACGGGGTCGCGTGCCGCGCCCGATCGATCGATGACATCGCGGCCGGGGGCCGGATGGATGGAAGGTCGTGGATTTTACGGTCGCGACGGCGTAGCTTGTTCGAACTCACCGATCGAAGTGTCGTAGGCGTGCAGGTACTCGGAAGTCATAAATTGAGACACCAACGAGCTCTTGCCGACGGCGGGAGCGCCCAGCATGAGGACGCGGTAGGGCGCCGGGCCTTGGGACGCGCTGCTCTCCCTCGAACTCGCCAACGAACCCGCCGCAGAGTTCCGCGCCGACCCCGGATACGAGGCGGTCAAGTGTTCCGTGCTGCGTCGAATAGAAGAAAGGCTAGGCGCGTGTTGAGATTAGCACAGTGCACATCTATACGGTCGATTTATATCGGGGAATTGGAGCCGCATTATTTCAGAAAAGAGCCCAAGTCACTTGCTTCGTTTTCAGAAAATAAGAAAACAACTATGCACATAGATCAGACAAGCAGCGCTTGTGCAAAAGTTGCACTTGGACGCGAATTAACGAATATCATGCACATTGAATCCTAAAACATTACTACAACATCTTAGTTTATCATTATTTTAATATTACAACTATGTAAAAAAAAAAAAAACAAAACAGAAATTGCTTGACTTAGGCGCATTTTGAAAAAAATGTGGAAAACATATAGGTTTATCATCATATCATCTATGTTTTGTACGATAAAAATATAATTTAAATGCCAAAGTACTTTTTTAAATGTTTACTATTCGAAAAGTAGATTTAAATTTTTATTTCAACACAATTTGCAACGCATATTTTATTTCTTTTTTTTTCAAGTTTGAATTTTTTATGGAAAAGCATATTAATTTGGATGGAGCGTATATTAAGATGTAAAATAATACAAGACATAATTCTCGCTCGACTGCGTAACGTGCTCAGACAAGTCTCTCATAAAGAAACGCTTATGGGCACAATAACCATGAATGCTTCTAGAAGCTACTTAGTTTTATATGACGAAATAATCCGGATAACATGAAGAGACCAACTGCTTCGTTGAACCGCGTAGTACACAAGAAATTCATTTCATGTACTTGTTTCGTCGAGATAATTTTTTTTCAATACTAAACGTACTATTCTTTTTTAGATTTAGAATTTTTTTTTAAACTCTGAATTGATTTCTTCTAGTAGATATCGTGTGCCACTCATATCAACTATAGAATAGCAAAATACATGGAAGAAATCTTTTCCGTGATGTTCTATATAAATAATAAAAAAAAAAAAAACCTAAATGCCGCACAACCTCGGTACAAGATATTTCGCAAGATTCGCGTCAAACTTCGAAAACGTGTTCTCCGAAGATTTTATCTCGGTGGAAATTTTATCAGCCGCACTGCTCCTCCGAGAGAAACTTCGGAATTTTCAACGTCAAATATCTTAGGCAACTAAGCCTCAAATCAAGATCTTGCGAAACTCTCGAAATTATCCACGAAGTAGAGCTCTGCAGCTCCGAAGCTTAATTTCTTAAAGCCTTTTAGCCCGTAGTGTTAAACACATTCATCATTGCGTCTCGGTTTAAATTTCCGCAGAGGAAAGGTCAACTTCGATGTTGTCGCAAAGCACACTCCTGCACACTCTTCGATATAAACTTTAGAAAATATTCCATGTATTGCAGCCGGCGATGGAAATGCGTTTCACGCGATATCCACTTCTCATTCTACACATCGATATCAAACTCAATAGCCGCATCTAGAAGGGAAGAAAGAATCGTAACAGGTTTATTCATTCGCGCGTGAATATTCAACGTTTCACACTTCGATCGGTAGAATCCGAATAATAAGATCAGCGCTCACACAATGGCAGGACTAGTTACTCGAGTCACCAACACCATGCATTTCGTTAACTCGTGCGCGCAACGACAGAACAAGTTACCCAAGTTGTTAACACTCTGCGCTTGGTTAATTTGTTTCGCTGATCGTTATACGCTGTTAAATATTTAAATATACATTTTATATATCGCACGCACCATTGTTCCGACGGAATTCAGAGTTCCATTAAGCGATGCTGTAATGCTGTCATGCCGGTAACTTTGCGTGCAGATTTAATGCCTAGCCGTATTTACACGAAGCTAGTTACATTGGACAATAAAATTATTTTAATTTTCTTAAGCATAGCTGTGTCACACATATTATCAAATATGATTTTAGAAGAACTGTATTTGATGAACAGTGTTGAAATGAGATTTTAACATTTCTGTATCTGTTCTTCAAGTGATACTACAGAAACGTACATTTATTGTTTTCGTCATATTTTGCTTCGTAACATCTTCTTTAAATGGCTAGTAGCAATTAGATAGCACATACGGCTCAACTGGTTCTTCTTTCCGTATAAAAGATATTTAATTTTCTCGATAAAATTTATACGAAATATACGTTATTCTGACAAATAAGCAACAGTTTTATGAAAAATATAGTGCATGTATGCTATACTGCTTATATTATACTACCAAATAGACACTGTTACATATTCTGAAACGCTACAATTACTATACATAAACGCTGACTGTAAATGAAAAATTTTGATTACGTATATTTTTGTTTCGGTGAAAAAATAAACAGCAAACAAAAAAAATGTGCAAGAAAAAAGCTGCATCAAAACTGTTACATATGACAAAAGTTACATTTATTTATTATTAATTTACAATTACATTTTTCAACTCGTTGATTAAATAAGTTTTCATAAAAAAGCTAAACATTATTTACTGCTAGAAGCTTAATAAGTGAGGTTCGAAATTAAATTCTCCCTTAAAGGATGTTAATTTCACTGAATACCAGCATATTATACAACACTCTACAAAGTACAAATTATAAAAAGGTATTTCAAATACGAAATGCTAATTGCAGTACTACTGCATACTTCGAAAAGCACATTTCAAATGGAAAATATAAGATATCGTTTTAAAATACAAAATATGAATTTAATTCAAAACACGAGATGTGAAATAATAAATATTTTATATCTCTAATGTGCACGTTAACGTATTTGAAATACTTTTCAGCCCTTTATATATATCACTTACCGTGATGTCTGAAGACCACGCTCTAAGGTCCAACGCGCGTGTCTACGTCACTTCAATGTCACACGTAAACTCACGCGTTCGATCTAGAGCGACGGTCGAAATTGTTGCCACGCGAAGACGAACCGGAGATAAAGGCCGGAGATAAAGGCCGACGATATCTTCCGGTGCGCTTCTTCCAAAAGGAGCAAACGAAGCGTCACAATCGCAAACATCATCGCTCGACCGTAGAGTAATAAATACAATTATCGATACTTGATATCGATACTTCATATTAACAAGCATCTTGTCAATTTTTTAATAAAACTCTTACACGTTGCTTGAATATAAAGAAAAGTAGTTTGCGACAGCGAGGAACATTATTTCTCAAAAGCAACGACGACAGATTCAGAGACACGAGGCAAGTTTAGTTCTACATTTCGAGTTATACAATCGAGTTCTATATTTTATGTAAATAAAAGGGAGAGAGATTTGGCAAGTTGGCTCGTGCTCAAATATTAGATTTCTAATATTTGGATATCTTTGAATTAAAGCAGTTGGTACTCAATAACTTGTGTAATGAGAGCGTTTTCGAAGCTATACGACAAGCTATATTTTACTCCGTTAACCATGCTTGAACTCACCTGGAGTTGCTCGACGCCACGCTGTTATTAGAGCGCGATCTGCGGCTCTTGAGGGAGTCGCCCCGGTTTACCACGCCTTTTCCCGTGATACTGAAATGCCGCAGTCTGTAGTACTCTTCCTCCACGCCGGTGTTGGGCATGCTCGCCACTCGCGATCTCTGTTGCGGAAGACACAGGTAATTCGGTCGACCGGAAGAGCGGCTACCGGGAGCTTTTACTGATTGCGACCGGCTGTGATGGGGACTCCCGTATCTGCGACAGCGCGTTATCCTCGTTATGATCCGGTAATATCGAGTATACAGAATGTTTGAGAAGGAAGAATCAATACCGCGAGAGACGTAATTATTCGCACAATTAATTTACTGTTCTACGAATGAACAAATCTGTTAGTAAAATAATATAGAAATCTATTTTCAATATCACGTGTTATCAAAAAGATACTAATAATAAATCTTTGACTAAGTTTTTGAACTTTTTGATATTATTCACTGTAATAATATTAACAATTGTGAGCAAAAAATTATGCATTTAAATGGAATTTTGAAAACGTCACAAGTGTGTAAAACACATGCTATTTCTATATTATCAAGAATATTTATATCGAAATCTAAATTTTAGACAATAATCTTTTTTGTCATTCACACATATTAAATGAAAACCAATTTTGAAGCTATTGACTCTATAACTTTATTCTGAAATTGACATGTGCTCGTTCAGAAATTTCTTGCTTCTAGTATCTGAGATGCTATCATCTCCCGAAGTATGGATTTTTCTGTCCGAAACACTTTGGAAGTCTGTAAATATATTGAATATGCCCGACGAAAACTTCCGACAAGATTCCCAGATAAACTTCTTTTTTATTACAACCGAAAGCATCGAATTAGAATATACTTAAAATACGGGGTAACAGCTAACATTTATTAAATTTGCTGCGCGATTCAATATTCTTTTTAATATTTTACTTTATCTTGTAATATTATCTTGTAATATTATATATACAAATGATATTCATTTCACGTCTTTAGATTTTTATGAAACAAGTACCGCTTGCCAATAATCATACGTCGGAATATCCAAAGTTATTATTACGTTTCGTTTAAAAAAAAACTGTTGGCTTTTCTATGAAACTCTATATCTGTGTCAAGAAATATAAGGAGCTTTTAAAGTAGGCCAGATATCTTGTCCAATACTGTTCATTGTTATTGCCCATTGGTTACATCCCTTTAGACATTTTGCCTTTGTGATGCCTACATTATGTATCACCCATATCGATCGTATTTCTCGCGACTGTCGCGGAACCGTAGGTGCCTCGACGGCGATCGATACCTCATCTCGAAGTCGTGTATCTCCTGCAGAGTGAGAGTATTGGCGACGTCTAACAGCTGCCGCATGTTCTCCTCGCGTCGCCTCACGTCGGCGTCCGGGTGCAATAGGATCGTCGCCGCGGGCGCGTCCAACGACAGGGACGGTTGTTGCACCACGATTGTCGCCTGGGTCGATCGCTTCACGCTGCCGCCGGCGCTTCCGCCTTTCGGGTATGAAAAATTCACCGTCCGTTACCTCCATCCGCGCGCTCCTTGATCTCACGGGTCACGAGTTGGCGAAAGAGAGGAGTCCGCTCTCTCGTCCGCCCGTACACCCGTTTCTCTCTCTCGTTCCGCCCTCGCGGCACGGAACGCATTCTTTCGGGGCTCTCGGGCCATCCTTCTTCGCACCCTTTCTCGGCGAAATCGCCGAGAAAGTGCTCCTTCGCGAGATACGTGCCTGATGACACGTTCGCGATCGTCCCGACGGAACCGCCGTCACTCGTTCGTACAAAGAAAAATTTTTCGCGACTGATGCGTCTGATTTAGCATCTCGACAGTGTCGATATCAATTGCAATGGGAGAAGTTTCACCTGGCGAATGGCTACAAGCTGGGCTAAGGGTCGTTATCTTGAAAAATATCCTCCGGTAACTGAGAAAATAACTGAGAAAAGTATACCGTCCCATAAAACGAACGATATTGCACGTCTTTCTGCGTTTATCATTTACTTTCTTATTCACATTTAGTTGACATAGAGTATGTCGAATCTCGATCGCTGCTATTTATTATATCATGTCATCAAAAGTTTTATGAGTTTAGAATGAATATTCTATCAAAAGACATACCGAGGCATGAATTGTTTCTCAACTGTAAGCTACTGTAAATGAAGGGGTTGAAAATGAGAAGTAAAAGTGAAATTTGTTCTGTAATTAATTCCGGATGATGTTTACTTTAACAAGAAACATTAATCTAGGGTTCGCTTAGCATACAAGAAGATTTAATATCGAAACTTGATAACCTAAAGAGGGAATGTGCTATATGAGTATATAATAAATATTATATTACTCCACGATCTATATTGTAATTTAATTGTGATTTAATTTCTTAACAATTTGGAATCAATTCCTCTTTGCGAAACAAACAAAGTGCACTGATAATTTTTACGTTATAAAGTAAAAATGAGTAATTGTTTTCACAGAATTTAAAATATAATAAATAAAAAACAAACACTTTATTTTATTTTATTTTAATTTTACTCCGCAAAATTTTAATTTGATGCTTAACTTAGCAATATATTTAATATAAAAAATTAAAAAATTTTTGTCAAATGTCCCCTAAGAAAAGATCAACTTTGAAGTCATCAAAGAGCTTAAAATGTTTTACATATTATGATGTATTCTGTATTGAGAAGATAATTTAGAATCATTTTATGACTATTAAAGTTCAGTTAATCAAGGAAGCTTATTACTGAAAGTTCAAACTTGATTGTAGTTCTATACTAACTTTCGATATAATAGCATCCAATTAAATTTTCGTTAAAGAAAACTCGCCTTTAGAGTCAATCACGCAATTCTTTTAGAAACGCGAAGGTAAAAAGCGAAAATTTCCATATGAATTACAATAATAATTTTTTTTTTTTTAGAATAAAACGTGATTATTCGGTTGGATAAAATTCGAAACGATGAGAAATGAAGCGTAAACATATTCACTGGTATTCGCATGATCGGTCCATAAATCCATAGGGACGGATATGCGCTGGCTTATACTTCAAACGAAAGAGAAAGAGAGAGAAAGAGAGAGGGAGAGAGTTTTGTAATTCCATTTCAATATAAAGTAGAATTTGAAATCAGTGCTAACAATAGTGAGCCTCGCAGCAATCCCGTTTTATGTAGACGGCGAGTTGTGGTTCGTAAACTTTTTTCATCTAAGATTGTTCTTGGTGTAGTAATTTCTAACCCAGCCTGTGTAGGTCGACCGAGGATCTCTAAGATGCGACCCTTTCATCCCCGTTTAAACAAAAGTTCCGCAATCTGCGCGAACTTGAGTCCCGCGCAATTGCGATTATCGAGGTTCCATCCGGCACCGCCGACGTGACGGATGGTGTAATAACAGGGATTGTGGGTAGCAAAGACGGCGGTCCCGGCAGCACTATAGTGTGTACTAGTGAATAGAAACAAACAGGTAACGACAAAGCGTGATTCTCGATAGCAGGAGTCGCAAGCGGCATTCCCAGGTTCTCTCTTTCGCGCTGCCAAACGGCGCGGCGTAGCCGAAGCGAGCAATCGCGTCATAGAAATTAATATCGCGCATAGATTAAAACCGATCTAACTTAGATGAGTTTTCAGATTTTAGACGCTATTGATACGCAAAATTGATCTAGCGTGCTCGATTTAATCCGCATAAGATGAAATTTAGTTCTCTTAAATTCTTATTCTGCTTGAAACATATTTGCATAATCATAAATAAATAAACAAAACTTAAAAGTTTTCCTATTAAGTAAAGTATTTTATAATGTTAAAAAAATTGAAAATGGGTTAAAGATATAACGAGCTGTGTTTTTAGTACAAATAATATGAAAAAAAATCAAAAATTCTTAGTAATTGCATTTAAACAAATATATTTTCAATTAAACTCATGAAAAATGGTTTTAATTACGCTTGATACGCGATAGATATCTTATGACTCGACAACGCTATGTATCTATCACGATAAGATGCATTTTTTCACATCTGCAGCACTAAAAATTGAGCTTCACGAAATTATATTAATTACTTGGTATTACGGCACCCTCATTATCTATCACGAATCTATCTCTATCTATTCATCTATATCTACGACGACAAACTTCACATTTTGTGATACACATAAAACAGAAAAAAGCAAAGAAAGAGAGAGAAAGAGAGATGTATAGAAGAGGTAGAAATTTCAAACGTAGCATATAAACTTCGTATGTGCGAGAGCCTGTACAATTTGCGTTCATATTATTGAAAATGCATTGAAAATGAATATATAAATGGATATATAATGTGCGCAAAATTTGCAAAGTCATATATTTAATTTTACGGTCCAAATATTCTAATGGATATCTCATGTTACTACCTCCTCCATGATAGAACCCCGTTTTCATAAACATTAAATAAAATTAATAGTGGTTCAACTGTTTCTCCGGCTCTATGTAGATTTGTTTTTGGAAATCATTTAAACCTCCGTTGATTTTAATTAATGTTTATGGCTGCCACGGTCCTACGATGTGCGAAAGTCAAACTAAGCCGGTTGGTGTGTTTTGCACACGCAACGGATTTTCAATTAGTGATCAAAGCACCGGCGGCGATATTCTCCCCACCTCAGCTACGGGCGCACCGATTATCATCGCAGACTTTTGCGGGGCGACGAGCGGCGACATTAAGAGCATCGGCGTCCCACAAGGATGTCTCGTCTCGCGAGAATGACTTTTGTCAAGGACGTAATATCCATTCCCGTGCTTTTTTTTTTTCTTCTTCCTCCTCCCAACGGGGTCGATAAACGTCGTCGCTCGTCGCCGTCGTCTGAGATCCGCGCGAAAGAGACGCAAGCGTGATCGACAGCGCATGAAGAAGGCAGAGACGCAGCGAAAGCGAGAGATGGTGAACAAAAGAGAAGAAGCCCAAGCGCATTCGCATAGTCGCATGTGTGTTACCGTACTGTATCCACTGTAACACGACCAAAGAAAGGGACGGCCGTCGAAAGGCCGGAAGCTCTTTCCAGATCGCACGGCGCTCTCACTCATTCATACACATCACCGTCCCCGTCATCGCCGTCATTGTCGTTGCATCAACAGTCTGACGCCGCTTTCGACAGCCGTCCCGTGTGGATACGAGAGAATGACTATATATATCGTCTATTCGCCGGACTATGTAATACCTATTGCGCAAAACGGGAAAAAGAGCCTGACCCATGAATGAATGGCTGAAACGAGTGGATGAGATTCTGAAAGAAAAGAACATCAATTCATTTCCTTAGAGGTACCGTCCATTTCTCTCGTCTCCTCTCGTTTCCTCTCCCTCGCGCAAGCACGCACGCACCCACACGTACACACGCACGGGGTTCGATTCACGCTGATGTCGGTTAACGTTGATCCTGATTGCCAAATTTTATTCCTCTATTCGTGCAAAGGAGTCTTTCGAGTTTCTCGCGAAATTCACACAGAGATACGAAGTAAAGCGCGATTTTTATCTTCAAATAAGTAGTGAGACGTAGTGATATCTCAACGATAAAATTAATAGTTGCGATATTTTAACGATTTCATTATTTTTAATAGTTTTTATTATTTTAATAGCATTAAAAGACACACTCCGTGTCGATTTAACCAGAACTTTTCCAGGGATCTTTCTGTATTATAGACAAGACTTATAGTACATTATACCCTTGCTACGACAAATCTAGAGACGACGAATCGCTAACTAGTATTATTTCAACAACTCCACAGCGGATTCGATCGATAGTCTTGGTGACTCTGGTTAGCGATCGACACACTGCGTAGCACGTAGTTGGAGAATGAAATTAGTGACTCACATACGGTCAACGTTAATCGAGGTTGCCGGTCGTCCGTCTTTCAATTCGTAATGATAACCGCGAGCGATCGATCTCCATTAGAAGGACCCATGTTCATCAGGTAGATTACCATGGAAATGTGAACTGGATAATGAGTTTGCGGGATGAGAGAGGGAGAGAGAGAGAGAGAGACCCAGAGCGAGTGAGAGAAAGAGAGAAACACTCGCATTTCGAAACTCGGGAGAGCAACGTCGAGAATACGAATAAGGCGAATGGCGAAGCGCGAGAATTTTCGGATCCTTATGTTTTTTTTTTTTATCACCGACCACCGGATCGCAAGCGTGGTTCGTCATCATCGTCATGGTTCCAGCGAACGATTCAACGTCGCGAATCGTTTATAAGCAACGAATGCGACGAGACTACCCAGGAAACCCTGGCGTTCTTTATCTTTCGTAGAAAACAAAGGAGAATTGTCGAGGCAACTCACCCGCTGAACGTCCTCGCGATTTTGTGCTTCCGCTACTCTGGATGTTGCAGCCCTGAGTGTTGCACGGTTGCGTCGCACCTATGAGCGATATATCGAGCGGATTGGTCGTCACGTTGATGTTGGGCCTCTTCTGGCTTCGCCTGTGCCGAGTCGACTCCTCGGTCTTCTCCAACGCGTTCGCCTGAGTCGAGTTGACCTTTCCGTAATCGACCTGATACCCCGTTCTGGCGTTCTGCTTTTCCTGGGTGGCCACCAGATTTCGGATCGAGGAGCGCGTGTCAGCCGAATCGGGCTGACCCGCGTCCACGGAGCCCCTCACAGGGGTGCTAAACGCAAACGGGGACTGTAGGGTGCGACCTTGCCGCGATTATATAAGAGACGGCGCTGACAAATTCATGGGCGGAAATATTCTTTCATTTTATTTTTCGACGCCTGCAGGTGAAAGTTTAAGGTAGGAGATCAATTCGGAAAATTGGTCTGACGTTCGTAATCTAGTGGTAAACTTTGTACTTGCCCCGAGGGGAAAGATAGCAAGAGTAAAGGATACGTAAATTTTCTTACGAAATCTAGTTTCGCTCGAAGCAGAGGTTATTTCCAACCCGGAAATTATTGCACACGATAACGATTTAAAATCGGGAAAAGAGAAATATATGACTGGCAGACTATATAGTTTTGCGAGCATAATTCTATTCTTATTATTATCCCCAAATTTTTCTCTCCAATTTTAAGACAAAAGTATTACGGAGAGTGTTGGAATTTTCAAGACCTTCACGTTACGTAATATTTTTCCATTTCATACCTTTGGTTTTCTAAACTTTTATTGCGTCATAAAATTGATTCGCCTGCTTTTCGTGCATTGCGAATTAATTTTCTGTGATAATTCCACTCGCTCATTTATTGGCCAATCACCGCGCCTCGCCAAAAAGCCGACGAAGTCGAGCTTACTTAAAGAAATCCGCTTACCTGAAGAAATCCGCGGCTCTGAGATCTGGGAGCGGCGGAGTTCTGCCGCTGCCGCCGAAGGTGAATCTGGACTCCTGGTGCACGCTGACCATCGGCGTGGGCGGCGGGAGAGCCGTGCTTCCCTCCGCGCCGTTACTCGCGTTGTGTCCCTGACCGATGGAGGAGCCGGTTATCGTTTTGGAATTGCCGTTGTGCTGACTCGAGTCGAGTCTCGAACGGGAACAACGGCCCGAGGGTCCGGCGGTCTCGGTCTCGTCGAAAGCGCGCAACGGAGACGTGGGCGACGACGAATGCGGTAACGGCGGTGTGGTTTGGTTCGCCGGCGCCGCGACGGAGATCGGCGACGTGGGCGACGCCGGCGATGAGTTACGGCTGCTCGCGGTTATATCGTCGGGATGGATGGATGACGGTTGCGACGGGGCTGTAGCGGGAGGCGACATTTCGGCCGGCACGTCGATTAAGTCGAAACTGTCGTCCGGCTGCTCCCCGTCCGTCGTCGTCACCTGAAGAGCGGAGAGAAATCGTGCCAATCGCGCTGCCGTTTTGCTTTCGATCTTTTTCATATGCTTATCTGCATACGTATACACGGTAATTTGTAGACTTTTATTTCTTTCTGACGATGTGGTTCACTCGAATTTAAAAATATGTAAAAATATAAGTATACATATACGAAGCAGCTGGTGATCAATAACGACATTCCGTGTTCGAAGCCGAAAATAATACTATACTGCGACGTGAATAACTCTTGAATATAGTAAGCAAATATATCTTTAAAACAATTTCGACGAGCTGAACATGAAAAATACAAATATACTAACATTAAATTGTCTTTCAATTAACGTCAAATGAATTTGATAAAATTTTCAATTAAATTTAACGACAGAAAGTATTTAACGTTGCAAGTTATAAATTTGAGATGAATGATTTATTCGGACACTTCTGTTAAGAAAATGTTGACTCCAATTTCATTAAAAAATCTGCTGCTCTTAAATTAAAAGTTACAAATTGTAGAGCATCGTATAAATTAAATCTAAAGTATAATTTTAATTTCTATATTTATTGCACAACTCTTCATAAGCAGCATTTACGATTTTTTGAAACCAAACTTTTCCTTGTTAGGTATGAAATTACAGTTTTCCTCGTTAGATGTGAAGCCAAGTTTTTTTCTCGTTGGGTGTGAAACCAAGTTTTTTACTCGTTATGTAATTAAAAAAGTGACTTATGCATTTCGCGAAAGCTAGCAATCAGTATCTCTGAAACGAGATTTAAAAGGATTATTCGATACGTCAAACCGGAAAATATTCATCACTTACACTTCCGCGAATCTGCATACGCTTTGCGTATTACAAAGAAAGTAGCCGGTTCTTGTAATTGTTCCTTTTACATCGGCATATTTGTTAATTCATTTAAAATTTATTTAAAGTATCATACCCGAGAGGGGAGCGTGTATGACTCGGTTCACACGTTATCTTTACGTCTAACTGCGAGCTGAAATACGGATGCTAAGCACGCAAGGGTGCCCATTAAATCCCAACGCGCAGAGCATACTTTTCTAAGTATGGATTCGTTAAACAGCAAACATGGAAATACGTTCCATCGATATCGGCGCGCGGTTTACTAACTTTGTTTGTTCCTTGATGCATTATCGCAGCGTCGGCGCGCACGCATCCGTGTACGTGCGTGCGTACTACGCACGAGCTTCATCAATTATAACACTTAATTAATATTTGCTAATCATAATGCTCATGAATTATTTGCTCATAACTGCAAATTGTTTAACTTTAGCACTACCTTGCAGAAGCATGCAGTATACATATATGTATATGTAAACTTTATCATGGTTGACATTAATATCGGTGCTTCCGCGTTTCGGCATCACATTACACATATATGAATCTAATGTAGCCAATAATAATGATGATTGATATATTCGTATTTCATAAATTTAAATTAGCATTTCAAGGCGAGCGAAATCTCGGTTTTAGAACAATAGACGTGAATTCAATTTCGATTCCGTGATTTCCCTTTTGATTATAATATTGATTTTAATTTTAATATAGCGCGTGATTTCAGTTTTACTCTCCATTATCATAATAATATTTGCTACAGTAATATTTACAGCGACGTTCGCTCGCGAATACATCCAGTTTCTACGTTGTATTGCGGTACTCACGCTTGTATACGCCACTCACGTCCTACTACATAAATTTACATGCCGCATACGCGGTTGCTGCTTTGATAAAACACGTCGGTTTCTCACATTTGTCGTCATTATTCCTACCATGGTGAGCATCGTGTTGGCGCTGTCGGTGCTCGTGTTAATCGTGGTCTCGGACGCCGTGCTGGAGCCCATGACCACGACTTTCGGCACTGTACGGCAACTACGGCTGCCGCCGGCCGACTTGAAGTTGAACCGTCGTATCGCGGACGACAAAAGATCGCCGTCCCGTCCGCCGCCGTCAGCTCCATGTTGTCCTCGGGATGGCTGCGACTGCGATGTATCCCCCGTATCACACGCGTTACTTCCCAAACTACCGCATCTGGTCGCCGACTCGCGACTTTTCGAGCACCCCTGCAACAATTCGGTTTGCGGATTCACGCGCGCGTTCTTCCCTCCCCGTCGCTGGAAAATCAATCAGAGCGATTCGACGAAATTTGATAATTTGTTAACAATAACGAGGAAAAGAAAAACCAGAGAGGAAATTCTCTCCGCTTTCCCTTTCCGTCGCTCTGTTTTTCGCCACCCGATTCGACTCTCAGTACTTTGCTTTCATTACAGTTTACAGAATAATTCAATTATTATTTAATTGTTATGTTGTTATTGCGCAGTTAGCAAGCACGATTAATGAATAACGGAGAAAGTCGAAGTTGGGATAATGAAAAAAAAAAAAGTGCATTCTCCTCGTTCGCTTACTTGGGACTTGTGTTCCGGGGTGGACGGTGGATTCGGTGTGCTTGGCAGCGAGCCCCCCGCAGGGGTACAATGCCGCAGTCGCGCCAGGGCCGTTCGAAGCCCCTCCGTCACGAGGCTCTTTTATTGCTTTCGATTTTTCGCTGTTACTCCCCGCAACGCCTCCTTGCCCGTCTGCCGCCTCGTATGTCGTCTCTTTCCCGCAGGACCCGCTTCCTTTCCGCAATTCCTCAAAAGGATGCTCGAAATCCACTCTCTATCGTTCGCCACAGGAATGTTCGCTCGCGAGAGAGTCGAAAAATGTGCCGATCCGTTGCGTGCCGCTGATTGTGCCGCGCGCCACTTATTAATCGCCACATTCACCATCTCACAGATCCTTTACCCTCACGTGACCTCCTTGATTCTCCTCTTTATCCTGCTTGCGTTTCTCCTGCCTGAAGGCACAGTTGGATGAAGTATAATGAAATTAATCATTATCGAGTATAATTGCTAAATAGAGTGTCAAATCAGTGATTAATGATTATGTTTATCGGGCACTCAATAATTATGATTAATGGAGTAATCGAAAATAATCATCAATCATTGAATTGTAAGTTATTAATCAAAACATGAGTCCATTCTTTATTACGATTGATGCAACAAATTAGAAGATGTTTTGAAAAATACTAGTAATTTTAATAACTAATAATTTTTGTAAGTATCAGTAGTAAAGACAAATTTTCAAATTAGTGTCATCAACGATTACGTATTATGTGTACGAAATAAAAATATTCATAAGCAGGTACGCGAAAATCGGCGTCTCATCGACAAGTCGGTAATATTTCACTTCAATTATTTACGTTTATTATTAATATTTTACCAGTTCAGTTAATTTCGCGTTTACAGTACTTATAACAAATAAGTTTGAAATGCATAGTTTTGTGTGCACATAATATCCATCAATTACATTTCTGGTCGTTTATATTTTGCACATATACAATATACACGCATTGATATTAAGTGGAAAGCCGCTTACGTTTCATTTATCTGTAGAATATTAGACGGCAAAGTGTTAATCAATTATGAACCATGAAAGTAATTACTTTCCGATATTGCCGGAAAGTCCCCAATCGAGAGCTATGGAATGATAACAATTCTTCTTTGCAATTCAACGATGAGCTTCGTGCGAACATTCGGGACGCGTGCGACGAGCGAATATTGAAACCCATTTACTTCGTCCCCTACACTAGAAATTCAGAAATTCTTGCAATACCGCATTTCGAGTACAATTAACGCTAAGTCCCATATCCGGCGCGAGACAAACTGTGCGAGTTATTGTTAGCAATTTTCATTTTACGCTCACATCAATCATTGTGCACGCGATTCAGCGCGGCGTTAGTATTTACATATCGGAAATGAATGGTTGCAAAAAGTTTCTATTAATGCATGTGATAAGCATCAAAATCACACTACGACGAATAATAATCAGTTTAATTTACATAGGAGACTGCATATTTTTCTGAAATTTTTCACCAAAACTCCGTCGTGTTAATTTGTAAAACGTTCCGAATCAATATATTTTATCATATAATTTCCGTCAAAGTTTCAAAAAATTGTTAATATTAAAAATGCTGCAACAATTAGCGCCTACACACAATATCGAATGCAAAAATGTTGTGCTAACTTAAATTAATTAATAAAATATTAATTTTAATAATTTATAAAAATTCCTCATTTTTTACCCATTCTCTACATTTTTGCGATCTCCGTTTATTTGATACTTTCGGAAAATTAACAAAATTAAAAACAGCTTTTATTAATTAAATGACTGTCGCTTTTTGATGCGCTTAGGAAAAATCTTTAATGTCATGAGTGTATTTTTTTGTTTTAACATTTTTTTTGAATCTACATTATTTCAAATAGTTCTCCATCATAGTTATGATGGGTTAATGCATTGCATATATACAGTCTATTTTTTCCTCACTCGCACAAATGTTTGCATTAAACTTACGAGAAGCGTCTTGTGTGCAGAGAATAAAGAGATCTTATCATTCTTATCTTTTCTTATCATGCTTAGACTTTTTTTTGTAAAATGTTCGTTAATTATGGTCTTGTTAAGCAAATGGAGAAGCGGTAAAGTTAGTTTCCGCCAAAGTTGGGACGGCGTAGTCGTTTTCACGATAAACTATCACTTGAACTTCTCCTATTACCTCACATATCACCCATCAATCTCTCGAGTACACGCATTACTCTGACGCGGAACGATCTTGTTCTCTCGAAGCATCGTCACTCCCTTCGTTTCTCGTGCGGATTTCTGTAAAATTCCGAATACAAAGGAATAAATTGAGACGAGACGAGACAAGCAAAGAGATATAAAAGTGGAAACGACTTCGTGTCTTATGTACGCACGCACATTCTACGCTTTACGAGTTCCCGCTCGTAACGTCGAGTCCGATTTTTGCCCTAATTTCGATTCGTTCCCGTCGGGGATTTACGGGACGTTTGACGTGCAAAAGTCTCGAGAGAACGAAGTCGTGTGGGTATGTGTGCGGGTACGCGCGCGCCGCGCGATGACGCGCCGCTTGGAAAAAAATGTGCTCGTAAATCAGGCGTGGTGGAACGTATTACGCTCATAAATTGGAGAGAAAGACGCATCTGTTAACCTTCTATTCAGAATAGAGAGCGCAGCTGCTTATCTGAAAATTTGTGCTCGAGAGTAAAATAGAATTCACCTTGCACTGAATTGGACTCGAAACCAAAGTTGAATGTATTATTGTATCTTTTCAATGAAATGTTTTTCAATGGTGTCTCGTTTTTATCCATTTTAGAAGGATTGATAAGAAAATAGTACATAAAAACCCGTATAATTCTACATTGAAAAATTTACATATGTATTTCTGCAAGCGCACGAAACGGGAAATATAAATTTTCAAAAATAAACACGAGTTTGTCGTATCTCCAGGCAGGATTGCACACAATGACGATTAATTATTACGTCGGACAATGTTGTTATTTCGCCGAAAGGGGAACAAAACACTCAATATTTCGTTGAAACAATATAGAGACCATTAGACGTGAAATTTCAAAATTAATAGCGGAGCATTATCTTACAGTGGCTATTATTTTACGACAGCTCCTATTGTTGAAATAATTGCGAATCGCTTAGTGAGCATAACCCAGCGAAAATAATAATGTCCGAATAAATATGCACTCAATCCGTCCGCGTGACTGCATTTCGACCTAACCATCGAAATTACTTCGAGCCACAAAGAATGAAATTCTGTTAACTATTTTGTAAAGCTAACGAACGGCGTTATATAAATGTATTTACGTTATATAAACATAGATATCCGCTTTGTATCCGTCAAGCCTATATTGGAAACGCGTTGCACACAGTTAACGTGGAGAGCGCGGAAATATTTTCAGCACCATTTGTCATATAAATGGTGAATTAGCTTTTCCGGCTATTACGGTCGCACGGGCAGACCTACGTACACAGATGCAACACAATCCATACTCTGATGACCGGGTAAACGCATCGATTAATTACAATACGGTTGCATTTCTCTGAACTCTTCCCCGAGAATGATGGATTTCTCGTCATCGTATAAAAATATGGCGCGAAGCAAAATTACTTGTAAACAAAATATTAAGCAAATGCAATTACGAAAATGTATGATATATCATAAATAAGTAAATATATATATATATATTCTTTTTTTTTTTAGTATATTAATTTACACGGAATTCATTTTAATTAACTTGCTGAAATAATGACTCTGTTGAAATTATTGTGTAATTTTGTGCAATTTTATATTAAAAAAATGTGATTAAATTTGACTTAAAAATAACGCGAATCGGAAAATTTTACTAATATTGAAATAGCATAGAAGCGTTTATATTTGTATTTCATTAACAATTTAATTTTACACCAAACTACGTAAAAGCCAGTTACATTATTATCCAGTTAGTTTACAATATTGTCCGCAAATGCAATTTCGGACATTATTTAGTATAGCAAAAGATTGCAAATACTACATCGAATAATAATGTCAATAGTAAGATACGTTTTGAATTTTGGATTTCATTCTATGATTTGCGATTTTATTTTTAACGTTTTCTATATATATATCATAAAGTTTTATTTCGATTTTATATTATTATTAAAATCAGAACTCTCTTCGTAAAAGGAGAGATGTAATATGTTATATAGATATGAATGAATTCGGCACTTGTAGATATCTGATTGCATTTTCGCGCTTGTTGATTGAATGGATTTCGATAAGCGTTGGCGTACTCGCCGGAAGAGGTTTGGTTCATTTTTCAAACGCGAACTTCCCCTATTTGAACGCTCTCGTGGTGCTCCGATTTCGCCGGATGACGGCGTACAACGAGCGCATGTCGCATGTGACAAATCTGGCAATTAACTTCCGTAGGTGGCGACGATTAATCGGTGGATTAATATCGGGATCGATCGTCCGTGCGACAAAAATTACGCCGCGACAGGACATATTTTCGTGATTCTCACACCACCGAGAATGATAAAGGTCGAGCGATTAGGTTAATGGTGGTCGAACGCAGTGGCGAATATGGAATTTTACGGGCTTTAAAGAACATCGCTTAATGCGTTGTATACCACAGAAATTTTAATTAAAAGTTTAATTTTGCAAAAGCCTAAATAGACATCGCATACGCTCTATTTTACGGCACAGAATTATAATAAACTTATTACACCGTGTAATTATCTTTTTATTGGTAATTTACACGACATTCTAAATACCGTTGATTGTATTTTACACGCATATCGAACGCGGCGTTCAGTATTAAAACGCTTGTTACCGATAACCTCAACGATATTTAACGCATGAAAAGCCTATGATATGCAGTTGACGTGACCTTTTCAATTATGAGAGCATTTTCCAAATTATTATTGAAAAATATATGCACAAATTTCGGTTTTTTTTTATCGCGGAATTGCCTCTTGACCTGAAAATTAATCAATTTCTAATTTTTTTATACTCACTCCTGCTTAATTAATTAAAATTTTTAATAATTTTGACTTTTCAAAAATCTGTTTTAAGTATTAATACAAACATAATTCACATTAAAAATATAAACATGAATATAAATTTCATTAAAAT